CTTTTGGATATTGCATTTTAATTTCTAGACTTGGATCATATGTCAGAACTGGGAGAAAACGAAAAAAAAATCTGGAAATTAATTTGTTTCTCACTTTTATAGTAAATAGACTAGAAGTCCTAATGACTTAAGTGACTACCTAATATGTTATAAAGACTATTTTTATATTGTGACATGGGGTTTGGATCCCACCACTTTTATCCCCTTCTCTCTAATTTCTCATTTTTTTTAAAAAAAAAAAGCTTCTGCAACCCTATCTATTTTAATATTTTGTTTAATTTCTGTTGGAATCAGAACTCAGAGTTTCATTAGGAGCACACAGGATAGATTAATCCTGAAAAAAACAAAAGGATTTTGTTGTGGTGGTTTCATTTCCGTCGATACTGTCGTTCCATGGCGTTTTATCCCATTTTGGGTAAGAAAATTTTATGTTGAATATAAAAAAAAAAAAAAATCTTAAGACTCAAATTAGATAAATTTATAAAAAAAACAGTTAAATATATAAAAAATTAATACTCTTATTATTATTAATTGATTTTAAGTTAAATATAAAATTTATATTAAAACTCATAAGCTTCATTTTTTTAAAACCTGTTGTCAATCCACTGAGCCTGCACTTAGGCTTCGTTCTTAAGAAATCCGTTATTAATCCAGGCTTGCGTGTCTATATAACAAAGAAAAATAAAGAGGGCTAGGGCTCGGGGTCGAATGGAAAGTGTACCACAGTATTATGGACCTCCTGCACCTCCATTTCAACCCGAACCTATATCCAAAGGAAACCTTCATCATCGGAAGCTTAATTAGGATGCTGTACAAACTAACTAGAAATTAATTACATATATGAACCATTCATTAGTAAGTGTTATCCTGCTTGTAAATATTTAATCTTGAGGAGATTTGTGAATTCGGTATGCCAACAACCATTAATTCATCTGTTATCTAAAAGAGATTTGTGGAATTCGGTATCTTAAAACCATTAATTGCATCTGTTATCTTAAAGAGATTTGTGGAATTCGGTATGCCAACAACCAGTAATTGCATAACACTAGCATTCTTAAAATGAGGCAAACAACATCTACAAAATCCAACAGGCTTACTTCGTTCATCCCGGTACCCTATTTTTTTTTTTTTTTCCTCTTTTGAAAAGCATCATGGAACCTCTTTATTATCCGACATCAGTTATGAGTTTGCAATTATATATGTGTTTCAAATTGAAGTCTTGATTTATGGGGTGGTAGGCCAGTATATCTTGATCACGTATGGAAACCTACCCATTATATCGGTTCAATGATGAAAGAAAACCAAGTCAGTATATTGGTTTGGGATTAATGTATGCAAGGAGGCTGGATTAAGA